TTCCTGGTCTGCCCACCGTAACCCTAGGATTTTGGCTGTAATTGTCCATAAAGGGTCTATCCAGTCCAGAAAGTTCTATTTTCAACAGTACCCAAAGGGATTCTTTAACTTGTTACCTTATAAAGATAACTAATGGGCTAATGGAGGAATAACTGGCCTAGTAATAAATATGAATGAGAACCACACAATTTACTCAACCCATTAGGGTAATTATATAGCATAACAACTATACTATATAGCATATAGCTATAAAATATAATATACATATAAATAACTATAAACTATAACACACAGCAGAGTGATCCTTGTTAACTCTCAATCCCTCTGTGTGAAAGAATTGTTGGCTTTTGTCTCAGTCCTCTAAATCCTCTTCTTTGGTGAATGTGACTTGATGTTTCCGCTGGCCTCCTCTGGATCCTGCGAGGTTCAAGTTCTAGACTGCCCAAATAGAATAGTTGCATCTTTATATGAGAGCCTTAACGAATGAGGGTCAGCTCAGGCATCGTATCTGCAATTTGTTCCTCAAAGTCAATTCTTCAAGTACTGAATCCTCATCAGCTGCCTTTCCCAGGAAGCAGCTTCCCCAGACAGAGAGTTGTTACTGTGTGTTGGCCACAGGCCATCTCTCCTCCACCCCCCTCACACCTGAATCTTGCTTTGCCTGTTAGCTCTGTGCAGACATGGTAAGGGGTTTAATAGGGCCTGGCTGAGAGGATATCAACTTCTCCCATCCTGCAGATGCCACTGTCTCAGGGATACTGCCTGGTCCCCTTTTACAAATACTCTGTCTCAGCTCCTGCCTCACCCTATGCCTCACCCCCCTCCCAAGCTGCAAGTACCCGAGGTTATTCCCATTAACTATTTCTTGTCTATTATCATGCAAACTGCATGTACATAGTTTCAGAATGAATTCTTCATTTATACATCATAATTTGAGACCCCTCTAAATCAGAAATTAGAAGTGGTGGCATTGAAGTAATTTTCACTACTGGTCTTCACAGTTTCTGTTTTATAAATAAGTAAAAGGATTAGAGATTCCTCTAAAACATTTTAGGATTTGCATGGAAATCTCACATCCATGCCCACATTTTTTAATTCTAATTGCCTAGTTAGATTGCAAAGAAATGCTGTTCTCTGTGTAATTCAGTACTCATGGTTATAAAAGCCCTGAAGTTGCTGATCTCTTTCTTTCAGTCCTTAGGAGGTCATATTATTAGCAGACTTTCAGCTTCTGATCTCAACCCCATTTTCGGTGTACGCAATTGTATCCTCAACGCTGCTTCAATAGGTGAGTTACTGAATCCCACTGTAAATACTGACGTCAGTTTTATAAACATAGTGAACACAGAATTGGAGGATAATATGAGCTCCTCATATAAGTCATTGGATACAGTGCTAACTGTATATCCACATACCTTGAGGATAGTAGGTGGAAAGGAGATACTTTGGGCAACCAGGAAACAATAGTGAAAGCAACTCAACTTGTCTTTCTTCTTATCTGCTCATTATCAGTTGATAAAACATTTGTAATAACATAAGTTTATGATTAGTGTTACATATCAAGACTACAGTGTAATGGGGAGCGTTGGTGGCACAGTGGTTAAGAGTTTGGCTGCTAACCAAAAGGTCAGCAGTTCAAATCCACCAGCCGTTTCTTGGAAGCCCTGTGGGGCAGTTCTGCTCTTTTCTATAGGGTCGCTATGAGTCGGAATAGACTTGATGGCAACCAGTTTATAGTGTAAGGGAGCAAAGAGTTTATTTTAAAGGCAGAAGGTATTTTAACAGCTTTATGAATTACTTTTGTCCTGGATTTATAGATTTAGGAACTGAAGACATCATTTACATTTTTTAAGCATATACCAGTACCTGCACCAGTTACCTTCAAGTCAATTCTGACTCATGGCAACCCCAGGTGTATCAGAGTAGAACTGTGCTCCACTGGGTTTTCAATGGCTGATTTTTTGGAAGTAGATCATCAAGGTTTCCTCTGAGGTGCCTCTGGGTAGACTTGAACCGCCAACCTGTCAGCAGCCAAGCATGTTCACTCTTCGCACCACCCAGGGACTCCTTTAAGCAGATACTTTGGTACATTTTATAGGAAAATTTATAAGCCATAATGGAATCCCTAAGATGATTCATGAGGGTCATAAGGCATCTTTCATGGTGTCATGGGCCTATTGAATATAAAATATCTCATTTCATATGGACCTTGTCAAGTAAATTTGCTTTAAAGTGCCCGCAGGACTGGGCCAAGGAATTGGCCCTTATGTGTTGAAATTGAAGATAAATAGAACACTTCTTGGTTTACAAACTACACAAGAAAAATCAGTCTCTTTTTCACTTGGGTTTTGACCAAAAAGCGTATTAGCCAATTTGATCCACTGCCTTATCCTTCAAGCCGGCTTCTGAATGTCTTTTACCTTGTACCACAAATCAAACCCACCTTCAAAGAATAGAGATTTATCACCATTGAGGCCACAGGCTCTGAAAGAACGTCCCTCCAAAGAGTTCCCAAAAGGTCTTGAGGAGGACAGCACTATTGACATAAATGTATAATCTCTCCCAAGGTGACTACTTAAAGGGGAACACCATTTATCTGTATGTCTTTGTTTCAGGATTTTTGTTCAAAAGAATCACATGAATTTTATAGTTGTTTCGTTTATTGATGTTACTAATGTCATTTGTATTTCATTGGTCAATGTCATTGTTCTCATGTGTAATATACCTATGTTTACCACCATCCCATTCCAGACATTTCGGCTCTTCCAACTCACCCACACGCTCCCTCCCACAACACACCCATCTGCCTGTCATTGCCACCACATTTACTCACAGATTCAGATCATTCTGCCCTATAAACCACAGATGGCAACCTTGGCGCACTGTCTCCTGTAAGCTGGAGGTGCTCTTCTTTGTTAGCACAGGCAGAAGACTGCTTTTCCAAGGCAAGAACCCAAGATATCTTTTCAACTTCTTTACACCTGGATATAACCAGACCATTTGATAGTTATGATTAGGTGTGACTTTCAATTTCACTTTCACTTTAGACTGCATTTTCATTATAAGAATACTACTGGATTTTATAACATCTAAAGTCATTTCAGTAGTACATAATACCGTGAAATGAAATGATGTTTTTCCCTTATAGAAGGAACACAGCAAATTCCTTTAAATGATCATTTTTTTGCTGGAACAACAGATGCAAACCTTAAACCAGAACCAGTCCTAGTTCTGTTTTCATTTCTGTCTCTAAAAAAGTATGAGATTACCAACTTTGTGCTATCTACTTTCATCTATATTATTTTGGTTGCTTTATTTATTTTCATTGTGGTGGAAATATACTCAACAAAACATTCACCAATTTGAAAATCTCTACATATAAAATTCAGTGACATTGATTATATTTGCCATGTTGTTAGTTGCTTTATTCTTATCTTGAATTAAATTAGATATAATACCAATATAATTTGCAGCAAATATTTTATACATGCCTGGGTGCAAACAATAATGACAGATTAGATACCAATCTGCTTCATCAGAGAACTTTAAGACATTGAGTTATTTTCACATATTTTTTTCGTCAAAGGCTCTAAAGACCTAGGATCCTTGAACTCACATATCATATAATTGAAAAAGATCAATAACCTTATTGTATGGATGAAAAGCCTGAGGTCCAAGGAAGCTTAATAATTTCAGCAGGACTTCACAGTGAAATGGGTGGCAGAACCAGGATCATAACCCACCATCAGCCTCAGAGGAGTTAAGTCAAATAAAGAATAACAAAACTTTTCATTTTGACCTTACTTCAAGATTAATGTTTTCTTCAAATTGCAAGAACTGCAAAGAAATGGACAAGAAGTTCTGATTATACTAAGATACTGCTAGTACATGAGGACTTCACGTATTCATTTAAGAAATATGGCTTTGATTACTTTCTGTTTAGCCGCAATATCTGTATGCCAAACAGAGAAACATGGACAAGTGTGGGTGTTACTACAGTATCTCAGTTCTTGAGCTCCAGACCAGTTCAATCAATAAATGAAAACCGATCCCCTTTGCTAGAACACAGAAGAGCAGCACTCTCATTTCACTCAACTCTCCTACAATATAATTTACTCATTTAATATTTATGAAAGTCTACTGATTAACCATGGACTGCCAAAAGAATGACCAAATCTGTCTTAGAAGAAGTACAACCAGAATGTTCCTTAGAAGCAAGGATGGCAAGATTATGTCTCATGTACTTTGGACATGTTATCAGAGGGACCAGTCCCTGGAGAAGAACAACATGCTTGGTAAGGTAGGCTGTCAATGAAAAAGAGGAAGACCCTCAATGAGATGGATTGACACAGTGGCTGCAACAATGGGCTCAAGCATATCAAGGATTGTCAGGATTGCACAGAATTAGGAAGTGTTTTCATTCTATTGTACATAGGGTCACTATGAGTTGGAACTGACTCAACAGCACCTAACAACAACTGAGTATCATATGAGCACAAATAAATAATCACCATCATTTACCAAAAATATTGCTAAGTGTCCTCAAAAAAAAAAAAACCCAAACAACCATTTCTGTGGTGTTAATTCCAACTTACAGTTACTCCAAGTGTATCACAGTAGAACTGTGCTCCATAGGGTTTTCATGAAGTGACTGATTTTTTTGGAAGTAGGTCACCGGGCCTTTTTCCCAAGGTGCGTTCGAGTGGATTTGAACTCCTAGCCTTTGGGTTAGCAGCTTAGAGGTAACCATTTGCACCACCCAGGGACTCCTAGGTGCCCTCCAGTGTTTATATTTGAAATTTTAAACTAAAATTCAGAGAAAGAGTTGAAGAAATTAGGGAAAGAATAAAACTATGACTTCTATTGTTAACTTACAGTTGATCAGCAGAACCCAGCATGCAAGGTCTCCCCTGGTTGATTTAGGGACGCTATGACTTCAGAAAAGTTTTGCCAAAGGAGATGGGAGAAGACACTTTGAGAGTGGAGGGTACTCCAAGCGCATGGGTTTTTATGAGGATGACTGTAGCAATGAGTGGAGTGGCTTTGAAGTAAAAAAGAAGCTGGTCCTACACAATGTCACCCGTGTTGTGTTCTCACCGCCCTCACAGTTTAACCAGAATCAGTTCATGAGGAAATCATCAGATAAACCCAAACGGAAGGACAGTCTGCAAAACAAGTAGTCCATGGCTCTCCACAAATGGCAAAAGCTGGAAAACTCTTCTAGAGTAAAGGAGACTAAAGAACTTTGAAGATGACACCACAATCAAAGTGTCATTCTTCATTATATCCTGGAATTGGGGGGAGGGGATAGTGTGGGTAATAAAGGCCTTTTTTTTTGGTACAATTAGAGAAATTCGAATATGAACTGTATATCAAATAAAGTATTGAATCAGTGTCAAGTCTCATGGTCTTGATAATGGTATTGTGGTTATATAGGAGAAATTTTATGAGCTGCAGGCAGAGATATTTAGGGATGAAACATCATGATGTCTATGTCTAACTCTCCAATGCTTCAGCTAGAATTGTATGTGTGTATGTGAGTGTAGCTAGCTACAGGGAGAGTGAGCAAACTTGGCACTACATTAATTGGTGAATCTAGGTGCAGAGCATATAGGTATTTATTGTGCTATTCTTAAGACTTTCCCATAGGCTTGAAAGTTTTCAAACTAAAGAGTTGTTCTTGTTCTATTCCAGTGGGAGTTTCAGCTTTCAGGCAAGACCCACATCAACAAAATGCCCTTGCCACTGTGAAAGCTGGAATGAGGGTCCTTTCCAAAGATGGCACAGACACTGTCGTGGACTTAAGCATTATATGCAGGAGTTGGCCCTACTACAGTCAGTGCAAATAAGTCCTGTCAGCAGCTTATTGGAAGGTGATTTACAAACATGTACATCATACCAAATAAAGTCTATCATCCCTTGAATCATGACAGTTGACATTATCATCAAAGGAAGAGACCTGTATCTCTTCTCTATAACATCATAGTGTTGTACAGTAAGTGTACATAGTTATTAAAAGCAAGATTTTAAGTAAAGTAGTATACACAAAGATTTTGTTATGATATTGCTATATAAGAAAAAGGATTTTATCAACCGTTGTTCATAATGTGAAAATTAATTTTCTAGTAGATATTGCACACCTGTTTATACTTTACTAAATTAGTTGGATTTCTCCTTTGTATCTAGGTGCTGGGATGAGGAAATGTTAAGTGAAGCTTGCAGGCTTGTTCTAGATGAAATCACCCTTCCAGGCTCTGCCCCCGGAGGAATGGTGGAATTCCGAAGAACTCTCGTGATCAGTTTCCTCTTCAAATTCTACTTAAATGTTTTGCAGCAGGTAAAGATGAGGGTAAAGATGGGTTTGTCTTCAGGATACTCTGGGCAAAAGGGTTTGTTTCAGGTGCTGAACACAAGCGCTGTTTTCAAGTGATTTTTTGAGGTCCCTTATGAGATGAAGGAGCCCTGGTTGCACAGTGGTTAAGCATTAAGCTACTAACCAAAAGGTCAGCAGTTTGAATCCACCAGTGGCTCCTTGGAGACCTTATGGGGCAGCTCTACTCTGCCCTACAGGGTTGGTATGAGTTGGAATTGATTAGACAGCAAAGGGTTTTTATTAGATGAAACCCAAAGAGCTCTTCTAATTCATATAAATTTCCCCAAAGCAATGAAAATTAAGGTCTGAAAACAATGCAGATATAGATTAAAAATATATGTTTTATATCAATCAAATATATCTTCACAATTAAGAGTTTCCGTTAAAATCAAAGGCGTCTTTATTTCAGGATCCCAGTGGATATCCTGACATCTCCAAAGAATTCCTAAGTGTCCTAGAAGATTTTCCTTTGACCATACCTCACAGGATACAGTCGTACAAGGTCAGTACATTTTATGAAAGAATAGAAGAGCAGAGTGGGACGGCAACTGTCTTTCGGCGTGGCTTTACTTTTTAATTTCAAATTGCTGTTATAGGGTCAGCCTATATGAAGGGGTCAGCTATATAAACGCTTTAAAGAAAGCTATCTGTATTAGTTTCCTAAGACGGCCATAACAAAGTACCACAAACTGGGTGGCTTCAAACAACAGAAATTTATTCTCTCACAGTTCTGGAAGCCAGAAGTCCAAAATCAATATGTCAGCAAGGTTAGCTCCTTCTGAAGGGCTCTGAGAGAGAGTCTGTTCCATGCCTCTCTCTTAGCTTCTAGTGGTTTCCCACAATCCTTGGCATTCCTTGGCTTGTAAATAATATCACTCCAATCTCTGCCTCCATTATCACGTGGATGTGTGTCTGTGTCCAAATTTCCTCTTATAAAGACACACTAATCATTTGATCAGGACTCACCCTAATCCAATATGACCTCATCTGAATTTGATTATACCAGCAAAGACTCTATTTCTACATAAGGTCACATTCACACGTACAGGGGTTAGGACTTCAGCATATATTTTTGGCTGACACAAGTCAAATCATAAACACTAAGTAAATGCTTTCTGCAAGAAATAATCAGTTACAAAATACAATGGAATAAAATTCCCCATTTACAACACCAAACAAACAAACCAACCTGTTGCCTTCGAGTCTGTTCAGATTCACAGCAATCCTATAGGATAGGGTTTCCAAAGCTGTAAAAATCTTTAAGAGTAATCGCAACAAGAAATGTGCAGGTCTACAGGAAAAAAACTTTTTAACTATACTGGTGAACTAAAAAAAAAAAAGGACTTGAACGAAGGGAAAAACATAGCTAGTCTTTGGCTAGGAAGACACAATATACAAAGATATTAAGTGTCTTCTAAATTATTCTATAAATTAAATGCATTCCCAATCAGAATACCAACAGCATCTTTTGGAAACTAGATTTTAAAGTTCATTTGTTGTCGTTAACTGCCGTTGAGTAGATTCTGATTCATGTGACCCTGTGTACAACAGAACAAAACGTTTCCCGGTCCTACCCCATCTTTATGATCATTGGTATGTTTCAGTCCATTGTTGTAGCTACTGTGTCATCCATCTCATTGCAGGGTTCCCTCAATTTTTGGCCAACCTAGCGGGCTCATCTTCCAGCACTATGCCAGACAATATTCTTTTGTGATCCTTAGGGTTTTCATTGCCTAATTTTTGGAAGTAGATTGCCAGGCCTTTCTTCCTAATCTGTCTTAATCTGGAAGCTTCAATGAAACCTACCACAGGTGACTCTGCTGGTATTTGAAATACTGGTGACACAGCTTCTGGCATCATAGAACGTGCAAGCCACCACAGCACAACAAACTGACGGGTGGTGGAAAGTTTATCTAAAAAGATAAAAATAGACACTTTTGAAAAATAAAAATAGAAATGAGAGGAACTACCTCTAATATTTAAATTTATTAGACAGCTATAGTAGTTAAAAAATTGTAAGTCCTGATACAGGAAGGGACAAACAGACCTATAAAACAGTGCAGAGTCCAGAAATAAATGGGAAACGGAAATTGGGAATCATTAGAAATAAAGACACATTTCATGTAAGTGTAAGATAATTTAGTATATAGTAAAGGATACTAGTAAAAGTAGGAAGCAATTTTAAAAACAAAGAAAGAAACAAAACTATGTTTCTACCTTTCACCTTACAATGAAAATAAATTCCAAATTGATTATAGATTTAAACATTAAAAACTAAAGCCATAAAATTACTAGGCAAAAATACAAACGAACTTGTTTTTTAAATCCATAGCTTAGGGAAGTCCTCTCTAAACATAACACGAAACCCAGAGGCCATAAAGGAAAACATTGATACATTTGATGATATAAAACAGAAAAACTTTCGTACAAAAAAAGAGAAAGAAACATATTTCAACAAATACTTTGATAAATCAATAAACAAACAAAAAATGGTAAAAAAAAAAATGGTAAAGAATATCCACTGGAAGTTTACTGGGGAAAAAAATATTAAGCTATATTGAATATCACTCATATTTTTTAGAATGCAACAATTTAGATTGACAACGATTTCAAAATTTGATAATACCCACCACTGATTAACTTTGACTTTCTTTTCACAAGCATACTTTCTCAGTTAATAATAAAAATAATTGAAATCTAAAAGCATATATTTTTTGTTAAAATTTAAAAACAAAACGTTTGGAGTTACCAGAGCCTAGCAGCAGGGGGCAGCAGAGACTCCTTGCTGCCTCCACATATTTTTTTTGTTCCGGTTTTACAAAAGTAGCTTTTCCCTGATGCAGTTTCTGAGGTGACAGAGCGCAACAAGAATGGAGATGTATTATCAGTTCTTGTCACCTCCTTAGCGGCAATAAGTAATCAACTGGCAGCTGGCTAGATGGTAACTTTGAGTGTTCTGTCCAGGCCAGAATATGTGCATCCCACACTATGAAGAGTCTTATCTGTGCCATCCACCAGAGGCACCTCTGTTTCTGGGTTGTTACTGAGTCAAGCTGTTCTGTCTCTTCGGGAAGCTGGCATTGAATAAATAGCTGAAGCTCAAAATCTGGATTTTGTCACTGAGAGCTCTTCCTGAACAGTCAATGAACTAGGCAAAACTGAAAAACCAAACCTAACCCACTGCCATCACGTAGATTCCTACTCATAGCGACTCCTAGGGTTTCCAAGGATGTCAATCATTATGGAAGCAGACTACCACATCTTTCTCCCATAGAGCCACTGGTGGTTTCAAACCACTGACCTTTCAGTTAGCACTCGATCACTTTACCCACTGTGCCATCAGGGCTCCCCTAATTAGGCAAAGGGGAGCAGAAACAGGAAAATGCCAGAAAAAAAATTCTCATTTGCATTTCTGAGCAGACATCAGCAACCATGGTCATGTTAGCTACATGGCTTTGGGGTTGGAAATCAGCTGAGGTTGGGAGAGGAAGATGAGAGATAAAATCAGAGCGTGAGTGTAAAAGCCTGGGCCAGCTCTCTTCCTCTGCCTACAAGTGGACACTTGGGCCAAAACAGGCTCCCTCTGCAGTCTGCTGCCTCAGGCTCTTTCCAATGCTTCGAACCCGTTTCCTCCTATTGTCCTTTCTGCCCTCTTCTAGTCTAGTATTTCAGACCTTGCTTTGCTTCCTGGGCTGCCCTCACACAGTAGAATCCAGTTCCCGTCAATGAAGGGGGGACCCAAGCAAGCACTTGTCCTCAACTCCCGCTAAACCAGTCAGTGCCATGCCCAGCTCAGCTGTCTATGGAGATGGTACCTCTGCACGGATACAGTCAGGGTCTGTACTGTCAGCCGCAAGGCCACTTTTCCTCAGAGAAGTAGGCCCATCACTGGCTATTAAAAAAAAAACAAAACCAAAAAACATTGCTGTTGAGTCAATTCCAACTCATGGTGATCCCATGTGACAGGGAAGAATTGCCCCATGGAGTTTTCTAGGCTCTTTACAGAAGCAGTTTGCAAGACCTTTCTTCATAGAGCCCATGAGTGGGTTTGAACCGACAACATTTAGATTATCAGCCGATGATTGGTTCTTCCACTGGCATGGACTGATCTGCTGTAGCTGGGTCAGTTGTTGGTCCAAGTAGGATTTACCAGACAGCAGAGAAGAACCTGGTACTTGTAGAACTGCCTGGTGCTCATTCCCAGGCTCACTGAAAGACATTTGCAGGGGGCAGGTGGATTCACTGTATAACTTCGGTTACACAGAATATAAGAACTGAAACTCTTAAAGATCTTTTACATCTTGTCCCATTGCCTGCATGGGGTGGGGGGGTGGTGTGGGAGATAAGGCTTTATCCCCACCCCAATTTCAAATTCCTGGACTCCCAAGTCAGTAAAAAATTCTCTCCTCTTAGTTTACAAGTTCAAAATGTTGTTTTAGCTGAGAAGCATGGATCTAATCTCACAGCTTCATTTTGCAGGCTCAGAAACTGAGCCCAAAGAGCTTCAAACAAACAAACAAAAACTCCTGTTCAAAATCCCTTGTAGCAGAACTGAGACTAGAACCCATGTCTCCTGTTTTCTGGTGGGACACTCATCCCGTCTACACTGCCTCCCTGCCTGCATGGAGACATCACTGCGGGCTAGCTACACAGTTCCCAGAGTTTTAAGCTGACAGTAACCAGAGCACATGGACTTCCACTTGCTGAAACTGGAAAATTTTATCCCAAGTGGCCTTTCACTAAAATCTGTTTTAGAAAACATTTAGGTTTTCTCAGAAAAGCAAAGTTTTCCGTCTGCTAACTGTCACAAATAGGGCAGTGGTGATTCAGTGGTAGAATTCTCCCCTTCCATGCAAGAGACCCCGAGTTCAATTCCCAGCCAATGCACGTCATGTGCAGCCACCACCCTTATGTCAGTGGAGGCTTGCATGTTGCTATGATGTGGAACAGATTTCAGCAGAGCTTGTAGATTATGACAGACTAAGAAGAAAGGCCTGGCAACTCAATTCTGAAAATCTGCCAGTGAAAACCCTATGGATCACAAGGGTTCGATCCACATTCGATCATGGGGGTGGTGCAGGACCAGGCAGCATTTCGTTCCATTGTGCATGGGGTTGCCATAAGTCTAGGAACGGCAGCTAATAACAATAACAAAAAACCAACCCATTGTCGTCGCGTCAATTACAACTCACAGCGACCCTATAGGACAGAGTAGAACTACTGCATAGGGTTTCCAAGGAGCAGCTGGGGGATTTGAACTGCCAACCTTTTGGATAGCAGCCGAGCTCTTAACCACTGTGCCACCAGGGCTCAACAATAACACTAGCTGTCACAAAGCCAATGCTTACTCATGGTCCAGTCCCTACCCTGCCTCGTCTTCACCACACTTGCCCTCTTTACCTCATATAGATAAACAATGAGCCAGAAGAAAAATCTGGTTTAAGCTAAAAACAGACTAGTTTGGAAAGCCTGGCCTCACGTGGAGTATAGAAAGATCCACGAGATTCCTGGTAGATGTTTCTGTCTCATAAATACTCATGCTTGATCAATTTGCTTTGTGTTTTGCTTTGTTTTTAAATACAGTGTGTAGATCCCCAGCAGCACCCCCAACACCCAGTTGGACGGCCCATCATGCATGAGTCAGGCATTAAACACGCCACAGGGGAAGCTGTATTTTGTGACGACATGCCTGCTTTACCAGAAGAACTCTTCCTGGCTGTGGTAACCAGCACCAGGCCGTATGCCAAACTCGAGTAAGTAAAGCAGTGTTGTAAAGCCAGTGATACATAAAAGATACTTAAGGGAGTACTCATCTATTAAGGGTCTACCCAATCCAACACCTTGAGGCAGTTCACTAAAAAGCAATCCCAGCGTATACCTTGATAAAGGAAAAGAGAAGAAAGAAAAATGCAGGTTTGGGAGAAGATAAAAGAATAAATACAACAGAGCTGGTATCCAATTTGTCAGAGAATTTAAAGGGGGTGAGAACCACTTCCTCAGCTCATGAGATCCCCAAAGAGCTATAATTCTCTCTACCTTTTTTCTGGATGTCCATCTTCAGAGGAGCCCGAGTTCCTAAAAGGCATTAGTTTATGAAACCTCAAGGCTACATGTATGCAGAAGGTGAGAATAACAAAATACTCTCCTAAGGATCCCCCTTTTTTGTCACCTCTGCAACCAGTAAAACCAATATTTTCCACTCCCCATAGTGTTAGCATGGTTTCACCACACTTCCCGTTACAGACTTGCCCGGTGGCACTCATGTGCATTACAGTGGGGTTCCTGGGACTTACCACCACCACCAGTTGCTTGTCCAGTCGGTTCCGACCGGTGGCAAACCCATATGTGTCAGGGTAGAACTGTGCTCCATAGGGTTTTCAATGGCTGGTTTTTTGGAAGTAGATTTCCAAGCCTTTCTTCCAAGGCCTCTGGGTGAACTTGAACCTTCAACCTTTCAGTTAGCAGCCGAGAGTGTTAACCATTTGCAACACCCAATTCACAGAGCAGAGCAGCCACATAGTCTGTGTAACTTTGCGCCTTCGTGGTTTCGTTTCTTTCCCAGTTCCACTGATGCCTCTGAGGCGCTCACATTGCCTAGTGTGGTGGATGTGGTAACGGCCCAGGATGTGCCAGGTGACAATGGCAGCAAAGAGGAAAGACTGTATCCACAGGACGAGGTAGTCTGATAACAGTGCCTAAGATTCATTCAGTGCGTTAGTAACAGTGGCAGCTGATATTCCCTGGTACTGACTATTTTCCAGGTGCCTTTTATACACATGATCACATATAATCCTCCCAGCAACTTTGGAGTATTCATTTGTGCTAACCTTGCTTTGAGAGGCATTGGTGGTTTAATGGTAGAATTCTCGCCTTCCGTGAAGGAGGCCCGGGTTTGATTCCAGGCCAGTGCGCCTCATGCGCAGCTACCACCTATCTGTCAGTAGAGGCTTACGTGTTGCTGTGATGCTGAACAGATTTCAGCGGAGCTTCCAGGATAAGACGGACTAGGAAGAAAGGCCTGGCGATCTACTTCCAAAAGTCTGCCAATGGAAACCTTATGGATCGTAACGGTCAGATCTCATCCAATCATGGGAATGGCACAGGGCCAGGCAGTGTTTTGTTCCACTGTGCCAACTCAAAAGCAGTTAGCAATAACAACAGCGTTGTTTCAGGACAGATTTAACATGGTTATCTCCATTTTAAGATGAAGACATTGAGGCTTAGAGAGTTTTAGTAAATGCCTGAGGCCATATAGCTAGTGGTGGCCAAGCTAGCATTAAACAGCAACTCCATACACATCATCTCAGGCTGTGTCACTCCCACACTGACAGGGACGTCTCTGGTGGACATTTTGGTTCCATTCGAGCACGTTTCTTGGTCTGGTTTTTCTGCAGGTGGTTTGTGTGGGTCAGATTATCTGTACTGTGGCTGCTGATTCATATGTTCATGCCAAGCAGGCCACCAAAAAGGTGAAGATTGTGTGCCATGATGTGGAGCCTGCGATTGTGAGCATTCAGGTATAGAGAAATCTGCTCAGTCTTGTGGTCATTTGGCAACAAGTGTTTTCAGAAAGTTCCAAAGCATGTTGTTATCACAGTACTTGTGAAACCCCTTTATCCTGTGTGGCATTTCCCAGCTGTTATGACGATAACACAGTCTAGAAAGCATATTTTCTCCTAAAAGATCCAGTCACCCAAGAACCCTAGTCTCCCTGATCCTTCTTGATGTTCTGGGTGGGCTGCCTTTCTTTTCTCACCCCCAGATGCTTCTGGCTAGTAATGAGCTCCCCCCAGCTCACAGTGGACGGCTCGCTAACTGTGCCTGGTCTCTGTCTCCACTGTGCCTGAAGGACACAGTGCCTGAATGGAAACCATCAGAGAAAGCCCCAAATTTCAAACTTGGCATTCAAATCCTAGAAAATGCAAATCCTTGCCTCTTAGGTGAATTTTAACATTTTTAAATGCGAAAAATGTGTTTCACCTAGTTCCTGTCCCATTTTCCCACTGCCGTGGTCCTTCACTTCCACTGAGTTTTCTCTTGTTCCAGGAGAAACCAGCTAAGCACCCCCTGAATGGAGTGTCCTTTTCTCAGGGCTTTTCTGCACTTTTTGCCACTTTCCAAGGTAAAGCTGCAGTGATTCCTTTCACATATTCCTGAGAGATCCACCGGAGAGGGAAAATATACTATTACTTAGAGGAGGGACAGTGAGAGGATTTATCTGTGTTACACTGGCTAGGCTGGGCAGCCTACCATCACCCCCTGCTCCTTTACCTAAGAACAGAAACTAGAGATTTGTCCTCAAACGAATACAGGGGAGTCCCATCTCACTGGGGGTCAGATTATAAGTGAGAATCAAGAATGATCAAAATTAACCTTAACATAGTTTACACTAGTCCAAGATAAACCAAGATAAGGTGAATCAAAAATTAAAATGTCAAAAATGAAACCATAAAATCCAAAGAAGAAACCATGGGAGAACTCCTTTATAGTATTGCTAACTATGACTTAAACTCTAAATTCCATAAAAGAAAAGGTTGATAAATTCAATTACATAACAAATTGCACAGTAAAATTTTAATAAGCAATAGTCAAAATACAAGCATCAAATTGGATGCAACAAAACACCAATCATTCATTGGGCCTGAAAAAAAACTAGAACAAGGAAACATTCAGGAGGCATTTCAATCCGTTGATCAAATTATTGAAGGTGAATTCTTAAGTCCTTTCCTGAAGAGATTAATGCAATTTTAATCAGCGATGCTTGGCCTATAGAACTTGGATTCAATTGACTCATCTTCATTCTTCTAATGCAAATTAGTAAAGAGGTGGACAATCCAGAACAGCAGACTCAGAGCGGAAGAGACGTTTTGTGAAGGACACTGACCCCTTGGTCAAAGAATTTGTACTGGTTCCGTAGACTATGCAAGACATTTGAGATTTTGAATGGGAAGGTGACAGGATCATAGTTGTCTTTTAGTGCACCAGGCAGTGCGTTGTGGCTTGAAGTGGGAAGATCATGTCCATCAGAGACAAGGCCACAGGTCATTACAGTATGCCAGGTAAGAGATGATGACTGGTGCGAAGGAGTAGAGAGGAGACCATAAGTGTAAGAGGTATTTAGTCACTGACTAGCAAAGGAGAATCAAAGACAACTTTGAAGTTAGAGATTAGCTGACTGAGGATAAGGTGGTGTCATTAAGAACATGGGAAACATCATGACATGTTTGGAGGCAGGCAGAAGCTGAAAGTTTTGAGGGGCCAGCAGGCCATTTGCAAGGAGATGTCCACAGGTAGTCAGATGGGAATTCCAAGGCTTTAAGAAATGCTGAGTCTAGAGATGTGGATTTGGGAGAAACTATGAGAGTGAATAAAGTCACCAAAGGAGACAATAATACCTAAAAAACTATTTTTAAGACATTTCTCTTACTAGTTCCACCGAGGTTTCAAGGTGGCTTCCAGAGAAAAAGACAAGTGAAGGGAGATGAGAGAGGAGGAATCAGTACTATGATTGATTAATGAAAATTATAGCCAACAAACACATGACAGAAGGGAGGGAAGAGAAACAGAGAGAGACAAAGAGAACCAGAGAGAAGGCCTGAAGATAGAACCTTGGTGACACTTTCATTTGGAGTTATTTTTAAGTTCTCAGACATCTATCACCTAGAGAACTAAAATTGGATGAATCTAATAATTCCAAAATGCCCATCCTGTATGCTTAGGGATGATTGAGCTTAAGGGTATGAATTCAAGGGCTGCTCATAATTTTTTTTTATACCAGGTCAATTTAAAATTTATGTTTATGGGTTGATTACTAAATGCTTAACCAAGTCTTTCCAGTTGCCCTGGTATTTTCTGTACCATCTCCAACTTCTTGAATGCAAATAAACTTTACTTTTTAATACTTATGACTAATCATAGATTCCTGAAGTTTTTACTCCCTACTTGGATGAAATTTGGAAAAAAAATTATTTTATCCCCAACACCTTTCTTTCTCCCACCCTCCACATACACCCATTTATTCTTTGTAGTTGAAGTCCCTGTAGGTTTTAATGAGGCTTCTCAATAGGCACTGACATTGTAGTTTGAGGTTTAATCTTTCTAGTAAGCAGATGCAATATGTATGGCTGGCTGGGTATCGATGCTGAGGTGCAAGTTTCGATATGCTCTATAAAGTCATCCCTGCCCCCAGGCAGTTTCGTTACAGAACTGGATTCACCCTTAGGTAGAACATCGCATTTTTTATTTTTTCCTGACAATTGAGTTATTGCTAACGTCAATAATAATTAGTTTCTAGTTCTTGAGAATACACTGATGTGGGCAAATGGGGAAATGGAGCCAAGCGTGCGTGAGAATTTTTAACTGCACATAGTGTTCAATTATCACGTGTATGATAATAGCCGCCTGTGAAATTTTGCCAAACAATAATGATTCCTTAAAATCAAGACAGGAAACCAAATGTTATCCCCATGACCTGGAAGAAAATAATACTAACATTTCGTAAAATGCTTTGCACTCTGTTTTGAATATATTTAAACTAAATATCTCTAAAAATAAGAACCCATTTACTTGCTGTGTTTAACAGGGGAAGTGCACTTTCGAGGACAGGAACATTTTTATATGGAAACTCAAAGGGTTCTTGTGGTTCCAAAGGCAGAGGATAAAGAAATGGATGTATATGTGTCAAGCCAGGATGCAGCATTTACACAGGTAAGCCCTTTCCCAATCACTGTTTCTTGGGTCACAGTCAATGAACTGCAAAGTGAAGTGGTATCATTTTCTTGATTAATAACCGTGGAACTCAGGTATAATGGTAATGGTTAGCCATTAAATGGTTTGACATTAAAATAGAGGCAAAGCCTAGCTCTAATTTTTCTCAGAGCTTTATCCAGAATTAGGTATGCATTCCTAAACCTTTAAAGACCTTTTAAAATTTTATAGAACATGAATGTAATTCTAGAGAATAAAATGGATGTTACATACTGTAGCATTTTGATATTAATTTTCAATTCATTCAGATCCATGAATTGGTGAATCTTCAGCCCGTTGTAGCTAAAAGACTGGCCTCTATCCTTATTTTATTTCTCTTCCCCAATACTATGATATTCATGTGTTTCTATTATCTTCCTTGGAGTCCCTGGGAGGTGCAAATTGTTAACGTGCTCAGCTGCTAATGGAAAGGCTGGAGGTTCACGTCTACCCAGAGGCACCTCAGAAGAAAGTCCTGGAGATCTAGTTCCAAAAAATCAGCTATTGAAAACCCTACAGAGCACAGTTCTTCTCTGACTCACATGGGGTCGCCATGAGGAGAAATCAGCTCAGTGGCAACTGGGTTTTTTGTTTGTTTTTTAATCTTGCTTAGCCCACACATCCCAGTGGACATCATGTCTTTGATTCAGGACACTTCTTGCACTACACACATTATTCTCAGTTCTCACAGACAGCAAGTCCATCATCTGTTTCCCCAGAAGCTTGTTCCCCACTGTCGCTCACTGCAAAGACTGCTCCCTGCTATGTCTAGGGCCTCTCATCCAGCGGCCTTCCAGCTCTTCTGTTCAGCTCTCTATTCCAAGTGTGAGCTGATCATAGCTTTCTGTGCTGGTGGGCCAGATTCTGCCCAGCGAGGCGGGAGGAATTATCTCCCGATTGATGTCTGAGTTAAACATGGGCGACATCTTTCTTTAAACTTCCTCCCACAGTGCTACTGAAGGGCTGCCATTACCACTTCCCACCTGCTGCTTCCACCAGCCGCTTCTCCCGGGCCTCTGTGTCTCGGACGAAGCATCGGTAGCAAACCCAGGTTTACCTTCATGTCACATCAGCTGCTGCCCAGCCCTGCCCACCTGATTCAGCATCATTTTTATGATTTCCCTCCAGATGGTGCATCGTTCCCTCTGACTGACCCATCTGCCAGTTCTCTTACACATATCATGCTAATACTTAAGATGGAGGAGTCTCAAGCCACCCTGTGAGGGACTCTAGGGTCTGCCAGCCAAGGAGAATGAGGAGCTCATTGTGATCATCTTAGTTACATTCTGCAATGTGATCTCTTGTAAATAAATTTTGAAAAGCAATAGCAATTTATTTTCTCAACTTGGGCTTTGCAGGCATTTATAGCAGTTTCTGTAGGCTCTCCCACAAATAAAGATTTTTCTCCAGTCTCTCCCCCAAAATAGATAAAAATGTTTCTCCAGTCTCTCCCCCAAAATAGAAATATATTTTTATGCTGGGCAATTATAAAGGATTTTCTATTTCAGTTAATAAACCCCTTGCTTAGAATGCATGTTCCAAGTAAGCTTCTGGGAGCCTGTAACCAACCCCTGACTCACTTACAGGAAATGGTGGCTTATGCCTTGGGTATTCCAAAGGACAGGATCAACTGCCCGTGAAAAGGGTTGGGGGAAGCCTTCGGAGGGAAAGTGAGTAAGCCTGCACTCCTGGCAGTGGTGGCAGCTGTGGCGGCAAAAGTGAGTGTGCCTGTGACTTGGGGCCCTTTATATTCCAGTCCTCAGCCCTCTATTCCTAACTGGACATACGTCCAAGAGGTGTCTCAAAGGGCTGTCAAGGCTAAAGGCCAAGGGAGGAAGAGACTACCTACCAGTGGACAGGTGTTACCATCCAGGCCTCATATGCGTGAGCCGTGGTGGCAAAGTGGTTAAGAGCTCAGCTGCTAACCAAAAGGTCAGCAGTTGGAAACCATCAGCCACTCGTTGGAAACCCTATGGGGCAGTTCTACTCTGTCCTGTAGGGTCAGTAGGAGCCAGAATCGACTCAACTGCAATGGGTTTGGTTTTTTGGTTTCGGCCAATTTTTTTTTTTTTTTGTTTTGGCCATATGGCACAAGGTTGGGCACGCTTCTCTTTGTGCTGCGTACCTGAGGAAGGGTACCAGAATATTGGATTCTATGTCAATACTCTTACTGCTTTTAGCTGGAAGGGCTTCCTATTTCTCAATAGCAAAGGAATTAACAGTAAGTGAAATGGGTGATTTGGTTAGTCAACAGTATTTTTTGAGACATGGGCAGAACCCTAAGATTTAGAAGTTAGGAAAAAGAAAGAACATTCAGATCTTGCCCTTGGACAGCTTAATATTTCTTAAGTGAGAGGATATCTGATAACACATCAAAAATCGAATGTATTTAAAATGATACTCAAGAAACTTCTGACAGTTATACTTCCAGGAAGACCTATGTGGCTGGGGGACAGGACAGGGAGAGGCACTTACTTCTCATTGAATTCCTATTTTAACCTTTTGATTTTTGTAACATGTGTACATTACCTATTCAGCAAAATTAATTATTTTTTTCAGAAAAACTTGTAAGGCTTACTAATGTACACAGCTAATAAAAGAAGGCTGATATGAAACTGGAAGGACCAGATCCCAAATTTTGTTTAGTCCAAAGCAGACCAAATATGTTCTCATGCAAGCAAGCTTCTAGGTAGAGTATCCAGTGATCATGAGCACACACACACACACACACACACACACACACACACACACCACTTTCCAGAAAAGAACAAAATTACCAAGGCCACCAGGCAAATGTTCGATTTTGGTAGACCACAAAAATTAGGTGGACTGTGATCTTAAGTGCTTTGTAAAGAAGGTAATCCTAAGCGAAATATTGAAGAAGAGAAAGGTAGGTCTCAGAATATTGAAGAGTAACCAGTATGGGAGTCACAATCAAAGAGATGCTTGTATAGAAAGTGGCTTCTGCTGCTCTTATGGGGGTGGAATTCAAGATGAAAATGTCCAGAGAAGATTCTGGAATTTGAACAACTGCAGAAGTCTAGATGTAAGAAAATTAAGGCTCAGACAAGGGGATGGCTATTGAAAAAGCAGAACTGGATCCTAGAAATGTTGTAAGAGAAGAAATAAATGGCAGGATTTTGAAGATGACCTGGGCGTTTGGATGAAGAATGAGAAATTAAGACTTTAAAATTGAACTTGGAGATGAGTTTACAATTAATACCATTAATATAAATGAAGAATTTGGCCCCTAGAGGTAATAATAAATGAATCGCAGAAACCTCAAACTCAGAGGGTTTTAAATTCTCAGATTACACAGAGGCTGTCCAATAAATAGCTGTTGATGACCACTCTTACTAACTGAAAGTTAAGTACAAAACAACCACAAAAAAATTGTCTATTATGACTCCTAAGAAAGACCAAGATAAAAGGAACTTTTTAAACATAACAATAGCTTCATAGCGGCGTCATTTATATTAAGAAGCAAGAAATTTATAGTTTCCTATTCCTTCCTGGGAATAATTCTTCTCCTTGTCTCTTAATTGTGTGGTCAAGGGGATCTGCCAGTGGTTTCTGGAACATTCCACAAACTTGACCTCTCAATCTCAAATCTCTTAAAGTTGTAGTTCTATTTTTTTTTCCTCTCCAGGACTGGCCACCCAATCCGTTTTATTTTAGAGCGTGGGGATGACATGTTAATAACAGGAGGACGCCACCCACTACTTGGGAAATATAAGGTGAGTGGACAGGAAAGTCATTACATATAATATAGACAAATTAAGTGATTCACTAACTTGCGGTTTCAAATATCTGCAGAGCCCTGTGCTCACCCACACCCTCCCCAGACAACAGGATTGCTGTATCTTTTACCAAGCCTTGGTACTACACTTTGTGTCCATTGAGTCACTGCACATAAAGGAAACCAAACCAGTTACCATCGAGTGGACTCCATCTCATGGCAACCCCATGTGTGTCAGAGTTGAACTGCGCTCCATAGGGTTTTCAATGGCTGATTTCTTAAGAAGTAGATCTCTAGGACTTTCTTCCAAGGCACCTCTGGGTAGACTTCAACCTCCAACCTTTTGGCTAACAGCTGAGCTCATTAACCATTTGTACCACCCAGTGAACATTAATATAGGGAATGAGAGAAAGGCTAAAAGCAAGAAGATGTGAGCAGAAGCTATAGCATTCACAGACCTCCCGTTTCTGGGGGCCTCAGGAATAAAGACATGTTAGGATTTGGCGTGACATTTATTCAAACTTGATTCGTCCTATACACTGGTAAGCTTGTTATAGAAGTACTCCCACCTTGCTAAAGGATATTCTTCCGGCAACTTCAACCCTGTGGAATACAGCCTCTAATCAAGAAGGGAGCAGAAAATAACACTAAGTGTGTAAAGTAACCATCACAAATCTCCAGCACTAAACTCCAGGAGTTTAAGTCAGCAAGAGAGGACCTTTGGTTCTCACTCAGAGCTTTATCGATTCTAACTTACAAACCTTGGTGTGGTTTCCACAGCACTGTGGATTAGAAGCAAATCCTTGGTCTGATACGACTTTCTCTAGGAAGCTTCCCTGACTGAGCCCCCATGTCCTACAGTTTGTTAATTCATCCAGCTGAATGGGGCCCAGCCATTTGTGTTTTAATCTCCGGGTGATTTAGATGCACGTTAAGTTTTGAGAATCATTGGATTAGGAAATAGTTTTAACCCATTTTTACACAGGGGGTTACTGAGGCACAAAAAGGTTGAATGGCCTGCCCAAGGTCGTTCAGCCAGTAAATGGTGGAACCAGAGTTTAAACCCAAGCAGTCTGACTCCCCAACCCACACTCTTACCAGGAATGGAAGGGACTCCCACTTGAATTCTTCAAATGCCCAGGAGGCAGCAGCTGAACCTCACATGCTCACTGAAGTGTTGTTTACCATTCACAGATTGGCTTTATGAACAATGGGAAAATTGAGGCTGCAGACATTGAATATCACATCAAACGAGGCTGCACATCAGATGACTCTGAACTGGTAAGTGACTTACAAAACCAACTGGGGCTCCAGTTATGTGTGGTGACAGGGTAAATGTAAGCTTGGTTTCTTAAATTGTTAATTTAGAAGGTCTGTTGTGTATACCGACACATGCCCATCTTGTATGGAATGCCAGTTGTGAATAAGGACGACTCGACTAGCTTCCAGATCACGATCACTCTCCACCTGTGAGGCGGCCAGGGAACTGCTGGGTTTCTCTGCTGCTCTGGGGCACTTTGTCGTGGAGAATACCCAACACTCATTTCTATTTGCTACACTCTAGTCATGGTGTGTCCCCCCACAACTTCCTCAGAGATCATTCATTCCTTCCCCTCTTCTCTCCCTACCTCAGCACCCTAGACAAGGCCTGTGGGACCAGGGAATTTAGTGTGTTGAAATTAAAAAAAAAAAAACAAAAACAGTTGCTGTCCAGTTGATTCCAACTCATAGTGATGTCGTGTGTGCAGAGTAGAACTGTGCTCCATACAGTTTTCAAGGCCGTGACCTTTTTGGAAGCAGATTGCCAGATCTTTCATTCACATTCTAATACCCTTGACAATAGGTGTAAGGAATCACTGGCCTGATTTGGCTTTTCTCTGCACTCCAGTGTTTCTGTTTATTCCAGAAGCTTCTGAACTCATCTCATAAGGGGGAAGCACCACTTGTTACCTTTGCTTCCCTTTGAGTCCAAAAATAGAAAGCCACAGCCCACTCCACTTACAAGTGAAATGGATGGAATTTTCATGAACCATCCATGGTTTTATGACACATGAAGCTGTCATTTTTAATGCTCAAAACAATTGTATTCTAATTTAAATAACAGATGTGTGTTATAGTACGTTAGAGGAGAGATGCTGTCCTGAGATCCAGCAAATGGTTGCTTGTATTAACTCCAAAAAAGGTTGGAATGGCTGTGCCCATTGGGTAGAGCTGCGCTTTCTACTCTTTTCTGCACCTGGAGTCAGACTTGGTGATTCAGGAGAGTCATGCTAAGCCACTGAGACCAAAATACTCTGGTCAGGCCATTATCAGAAACTTTGGGCTTTGTTTGACCCCTCATGTCTTGTGTACAGAAAAGAGAGGAGAAAAAAATCACAGGAAATATTAAAGAAGTTGGAAGTCTCTAGCCTGAAGGAAAATAAGAAGTCTGAGTGTTTATGGTAACATTTTTTGGGTGTCAGGGAATTAAAAAAAAAAAAGCTAACATTTATTTCCATTTCTATCAAATGCAGAACAAAAATCGATTTGAATTGCAGAAAAAATTTTCATCTACATATATAAATATGGACATATACATAAATAAAATGCATATAAATTTAAATTAGTAGCTGGTCACTCAAGTAGCTGGTCAGGGAACTTGGGCGAGTCCTTTTTGTAGTTGCCCCTGAGAAACACACCTCAGAAGGGCTGGAATTTCACCTGCCTGGAAGGGGGATTTGATTGGGGTGCCGTCGAGTCCATACTGACTCATAGTGACACCATGTGAAAGAGTAAAACTGCCCCATAGGGTTTTCTTGGCTGAAGAAGATCACCAGGTCTTTCTCCCTCGGACACAGAGGGCCACTGGGTGGGTTTGAACCTTTTGGTTAGCAGCCAAGGGCTTAACAGTTGTGCCACCAGGGCTCCTTAGGGAATTTGATTAATGCCTACTTAAGATGGTATCAATCCAGATTTCATGATTTTAATCCACTTTTCACCTTGGAAAACTTTTCAGGTAATAGAATATGCTTTCCTCAAACTGGAAAATGCTTATAAGATTCCCAACCTGCGTGTCTGAGGCCGAGTCCGCAAGACCAATTTGCCATCCAATACAGCCTTCGGGGGATTTGGTTTTCCCCAGGGAGCCTTTGCAACAGAGACCTGGATGACCGCTGTGGCAGCCAGATGCCACCTGCCACCAGAGAAGGTAACCTGATAGGAACTGGTAATCAAGAAAAGTCTTTACACAGGTAAAAGCTCAGCCTTTCAATTCTTAAAATCATGTGGTCTCTAACATGTTTATTTTCAATGCATTCTTTCATGCTGAATTCCATAATAATCGAACGGTTGATCTTTATCATGGACTCACTCTTTGCGGGTCTCGTTGTAAAGTTTTGTCTTTTTATCCACCAGGTTAGGGAGTTAAATGTGTACAAAACAATTGATAGGACAATTCATAAGCAAGAATTTGGTCCCAAGAATTTGATAAGATGCTGGGAGAAATGCATGGAAAATTCTTCCTACCACCTCAGGAAAAAGGCTGCAGAGGAATTTAACCGGCAGGATTATTGGAAGAAAAGAGGAATTGCCATTATCCCCATGAAATTCTCAGCTGGATATCCAGAGACATTTTATTATCAGGTAATTTTCAGAAATACTTGGCAAGTCTGAAAAAAGATTTTCAAGGGCTTTAATAAAAGATCTATTGACACTAGTTTTTAGAAAATTAGCAGCTCCAGAGGGTTTTGGTATTGGTTTGAGAGATTTGCTTCTTTTGCTATAGCAGTTATGGAGCTATTGATAAAGGACAATTACCGATAGCAAGGAAAACGGATATTAAAAAAAACCACAGTTTTAATTTACAAACCATTTTGAGGACTGCCTTAAATCACAGTCAGTTAAACAGCTGTTGTGATGCTCTTGTGTAACCCTCAAGCATTCCTTCTGGAAGGCTTCTCTGATCTGCAGTGCCTGCATCTCTCACTCTTGATTCTACTTCCATTACAGTCACACTATGTTGAGATGGTCAATTTCCCTTTGGGCCTCTTCACTCTAGGCTATGAGCTAAACCCTTGTTTTAGTCGTCTCTTTATTTCTCTGCTTAGTACAAGGCATAAATGTCTGAATGGAACAATGAAGGACTGGATGGTTGGCTGGGTGAATGAGTTGTTACATACATGAGAAGGTGAAACAATTTTTGTGGGTATTGGGTCTTCCCTTGTAATTTCCTCAAAACTGCTCTACTAGTTCTAGAAAAATCAGCTCTGAATGATATGGTCTTTCCTACAAAGGCACAATGGAGTCTTGGAAACTACAGAGAACACACCAGCATTTCTGCCAGTGATCTGTTGTTGTTGTCCGTAGATTTCCCAAAGAATTTATTTCACTTTGGCAGAGTAGTAGTAGCAGGAGGCTAGTAATGAATCTTTTTAAAGGCAGTGCCTTCCAAATCGAGCAAAGACAGATCTCCAAAAGGCAGTATTAGTGGAATTTTAGAACAAATTTTTTAAAAGAATGAGTCTTGTAGCACTGTATTAGAAGATTATTGGAAAAAAGATGAAAATACCTAAATATAATCCTACACTGAATGTCCAGGGGCTCCTTGCCTAAGAGATGTGACTTTTTACAAGGTACTTCTCATGTTTCCAGCAACCACCTTCCCATGGGTGGACCCAAGTCCTGGGAGAGGGGGCAACCCAGTGCATTAAGTTGCTCCAAACTGGGTCATGTGTCTCCTTCAACAACTTCATCTGTCTGTTTGCATTTTGCCACTAGATGACTTGGAAACATAATCCTTACTTTGTAAAACGAGACTCCTTTCAGATGTTTAACCACACCCAAAATAGTGACGTAAAGCAATTATTAAGCTTAGGGAAACAACGAGTAGTTTTACTTTTTTTCCTTATTAATATATATGTATATGTTTTACATGCCCAAAGTTGTCTAACTCTGATCTGCCCTTTAGTCACACCTTAGTTCTCAGAATTTTCCTACCTTCCCCTTGCAAAAATTACCTGACTGAATTCTACTTGCTCAAGACATTCTCCACTCCCCTTTTGAGAGACACTAATCTGAGATCAAAGATTAATAAACTGCACCTGGTAATATCTGTATTTTAGTAAGGAATTTCTAGAGATGGAATTTAAATCTCCATGTTTCCCCAATCTAGGAAACTGAATAACCCTCAGAGCCCCATAGGAGACACGCTTGGACAAGGGGACTCCAAGCATCTTTACACCAAAACACATAGATGGCTCCTTAGTATATTTTCTTTCAAAGAAAATTTGTTAAAATATATTTTTAGTGGCCAATATTTTTCCTTATGAAAATAGCTTTATTCTTTTTTTTGGTGATTATATAAATAATGTGGAGCCTTGGTAGCACAATAGTTAAACACTTGGCTGCTAACTGAAGGGCTGACAGGTTGAAGCCACCCAATGGCCCCTCTGGAGAAAGACTTAGCAATCTGCTCCGGTAAAGATTACAGTTTAAAAAACCCTATGAGGCAATTCTACTCAGTCACATGGGATCACTCTGAGTTAAAAATGACTCAACAGCACCTAACAACAACATATAAACAATACATGTTTATTGTTATTGAAAAAAAAATTTAAATGATACAAAAAATCCAAAGAAAAAAATTAAAATCACCTAAAGCCCACATCCAGAGATAATTGCCATTAATATTTTGTTATTCTTTTATATGCCTCTGTATGCATATATACACATGTCTATGTAATTTTATACAATTGGGATCATTTTATAGGTAATTCAGTTGTAGACATATTTTAACAGATTTTTCTTTTCTTCCTTTTTTTTGGGGGGGAGGGGAGAAGATTGCCTTCTCTCCCACCACCAGATAACCAATGTTCATAGTTAGGTTTACATCCTTCCATTTCTTTCTCCATGTTCATATGATCATAGGTAAACATTCGTACACGTGTATGGGGGTTTAGTGTGTGATATTTTAATATCTTCATAGAAGAATGTTCCTCTCGTCTCCCACTTACTATCTTTCTTCCTCACCTAGTGAATACCAGTTACTGTCGAGTCAACTCTGACTTATGGTGACCCTGTTTGTGTCAGAGTAGAACTGTGCTCCATAGGGATTTCAATGGCTGATTTTTCAGAAGTAGATTGCCAGGCCTTCCTTCTGAGACAACTCTGAATGAAATCAAACTTCCAACCTTTAGGTTAGCAGCCAAGCCATAACCGTTTGCACCACCCAGGGACTCTTTAACAGCTTTATTGAAAAATAATTCACATACCATAAAATGTACCCATTTATGGTTTGAAGCATATTCATAGTGTTTGCAACCATCATCCACAGTCTAATTTTAGAATATAGAGTTTGCAACCATCATCACAATCCAATTTTAGAACATTTTCATTACTCCAAAAAGAAACTCCAACCCATTATCACAGCTAGGTATTTATCCGATGGACATATTCACAAAAAAATTTGCCAAGGCATACATGCAAAGGTGTTCGTTGTTGGAAGATGTTTGTACAGGAGTGAAAAAAATGCACAAAGTGCCTCTTAATTGAGGACTTCTTAAATAAATTATGATACATCTATATGATGAAATAAGGTGCAGATATTAAAATGAATTAGGTGAATTTATTTATGCTGATATGCAAAAAAATCCAAGATAGATTAATAAGGGAAAATGGTATTTACACTGTTATACATTTTGTAAAAATTATTTCACAAAATTATGGAATATTCATTTAAAAATTCTAGAGAAGGAGACTCCGGCAAGATGGCGGTCTAGGCAGAAGCACCACACCGTCCCTCCACAACAAAGATCCGAAAAACTAAGCCAAACACAGAATCAACAATCCTGAAACCCTAGAACATCAAATGAAGAGATAAAGAACTCAGCCGAACACCAAACGGAGTAAGAATACTGAAAGAGAACAGAG